TTAAAACTTATTAAGATTTAATTAAATATATATAAATTGGACATTAATAAGATTTAATAAGGACTTATTAAACTTAAATAAGTTTATAATATAAACTATATTAAAAATATATATTTATTTATAAGGTTATATAAAGACTTTATAAATTCTTTATATGAATTTTGATGAATCTTTATAAAGAACTTATAAGACTTTTATTTAGAATATATAAATTTTTTTTTCGCGGGAATATATATTATAATTGTATATTTTAAATGTTTAATTACGCTAATGCTATTTTCTCATATATTTTCAATATTTTACAATTATAACATATATTTTAAACGTAGGACAGGCAAACAATATTGTTAAATTTACATGAAAATGTGATACACATATGCTTGCTATGTTCATATTTCAAAAATTTAAAATATATATTTTAATTGTTTATATTTAAATTTTAAAATGTACAGTATGAAATTTTTGAAATATGAGTATAAGATAGTGTGTTAATGTTAAATATATTAATATTGGTATAAACTTATTCCTAGCAATGACAGATCGCATGTTGAATCGTCATTAAATTCGTTGAATAGTCAGCTTAACTTCATTAATCGTTACAAATACGAATAGTAAATACGATTTAATGACTCCATTTAGTTTCATATATGTATTTCTATAATGATTATACACCGCATTACATTTTAGTTATTATGATGTTATATTGCTACTGTAGGTCGCGTTGCTTGCATTTTATGCTCTCAGAATTTTCTTTTTCTCTCTTTTTAACATTCGAATTATATATGTCTACTTCATCATTGCAATAATTTTTTACGATTTCAAGCAACGCGAACAGGCCTCGGTGTTTTATCGATCTCCGCAGATTACCGTTTTTACCGGCAATAAATCGCATTGCTACTTTCAGATGGCGTAAGTAGACATTATTTTGACAAACAGTCAATGACAGCAGTCTACGAGATATTATAATTGATTAATATTAAACTGTATTCTACTTACTATATAAAATCGAGAAAAGCGATCGAGTCAGTAACATGCCTTTCTGCTAACCCTTTTTTCGTAAACGTCTAAACTCGTCATAATAACCGTGACGTCATGATTATCGCCATCTTCGACTTGTGTCAATTCCTGTTGTCGTTGTAAACTGGTAGTCGTCATCGCGGTCATCGCAAATAATTTGCGAGATATCATCGTGCCTCGCAGATTTAATTAGCTTCGATTTGTTTGTGCATTTGACATATTTATAGGTGAGTAAGGAACAAAGCAAGTGTACCATATCACATGATATTGAGCTCATTGTAACGAGATCATCGTTCTCGATGTAATGCTAGTGATTAAACTTGTCAGTTGTTATTTTTCGTAATCGTATTTCCATCGTATTTTCATGTTTACATATGCAGGTCCTCTTTGTTTATCAATAAGATTGAGCGATGAATATTACATTGTACAAATAGAGCTCGTTCAGAAACATATGCATGACTTTTGAGGTTATGGGCGTGTACCTGTTATTGGACGATTTCTCTGGAATTTTTTTTTTATACAAAAGGATTCGTATTCTTTACTTTATATTACTTTATTTTGTTCAATCTGAGATCCTGAATGGTGGTCGTAAATGTAACAAAACGTTCGCGCATAGAACCTGTTGGTGGTACAGGTTAGTCAGAAGGAATCTTTGTTACTTTTTCAGGACTATGGAAGGTGGTGGTGCAGGAGGAGAAATGGGTGGACCACATAACGCTCAGCAAGCGGGTGCAAGCAAGAAATTACAGCAGACTCAGGCCACTGTAGATGAGGTCGTAGGTATAATGAAGGTTAACGTGGAGAAGGTACTGGAGCGAGATCAGAAGCTCTCAGAGCTCGAAAATCGCGCAGATGCCTTACAACAGGGTGCGACGCAATTCGAACAACATGCTGGCAAATTAAAACGAAAATACTGGTGGAAGAATCTGAAAATGATGCTTATTCTTGGTATCATATGTGTTGTTATCTTAATCATCATTATTGGTGAGTACGCAACAGACTTGTGAATCTGAAGTTAACGCTTCTGACCTCTGCATAGTTACATTTGTTTTTTTTTCTTTATCTTTGTGATAGCTTCGGTTGTGCCAAGTTCGTCTTCAGACAACTCTGATAATTCTCCAAAATGATAACGTTGTACCAAAGGAAAGACACGGTGTCGTACCGAACAACCATCTTCTCTCTTAGGATAAGTTATATATTTGGTAAAGTACGTACAAGGGGAATTACCGATACCTAAATGAAGCACAAATGTGAATTATACATTTGTGATGTTATCCGCACAAAAATTGGGAACAAAGAACATATTTTTGAGACTTATTGTATTGAGGTCCACACGATTACTAGACTAACAACCAGTATTAATACAAGTGGCCTTCCTTTTTTTAAAGAAAGTAAAATAAACACTGGGATATTCTTATGATGTTAATCTTGTTACAGCAATGCTTATTATATTATATGAATTATATATAATATATACAATGTTTGTACTCTTTTCGAGCAAGTTCACTTAATATCTCGATTCTCCTGTAGCTTCCTGCCGTCCGTTCCATCATACGTAATTGAAAGTAGAGTGAAATTGCGATCCTTTCTATAAAGTAATTATACCCTATGTAATGCGCAATTGACATAATTTCCTTCACCGACAACACCATATCAAATTGTATTGGAGTCGTTAAGAATATTGTATGAGTCATTTCTCAGTGTCGTAAAAACGAATGCTGCTTTACAACGATGATCTACAAACCGCATATTTTTACTGTGAATTCCCCTTCGGATTTTACATTAATCACATTTCTAGAAAATATCGGTCACTCATAAATATTTATATCCTGACGTCTTCCGCTTTATGGTTCGGAGTAACGTCTATTTCTCATCGATCGAAAGTCTGTTACACTATTTGTTGAAGTAATTCCTATGTTGCTAAAGTTTAAAAATTCAGGGTCGTTCTTACGGAAAAAAGTTTGTTTAATCAAATGCGATGGCGTCAATGATAAAATAGAGAAAAAAATTACATGCGATGCAGGTGTACGATAAGCGCGCGTATGTATAGAACGGGAAAAACCTTTAATAAATGGATTTCGAAGTAACGCAGTTTTTCATACGAATACGAAGAAATATTTGGTTCTTTTCGCTATCGTAATATATAAATTATGCAAAACTTATTATATATTCTACATAATACATATCTATGATCATAACATATTCACTGTCATGTTAAGTAAAATCACATAATTTTTATTTTCAACGACATCTTACATTGTTAATAAGAAGCTTATATTTTATAATTATATATAATATAATTTGATTCGAAATGTTATTAATTTAAATGGTTTATACTTGTTTCTATATCAACTTAATTTTAATATTAAACATTTCAAATTAATTTTTATGTAGCTTATTTACAATACGATGTTGAAAATAAAAATTATCTGGTTTTTAGGATTTAAAAAGAACGAGTAATAAATTGAGGCAAGAAATTAAAGTTGATCTACTTAGGGAATCTTGGTGGAAACTGTAGCGAGAAACTTGGGGTAATCTATCTTGATGGAAACAGGCATTAATATTTCATGTAGATTTATATATATCGCGTAAAAATAACTCGAGACATAGAAATAATCTGAGATATTTTCGTAATAAAGGAAGCAGAGCATGATCGATCACTATCGGGTATTACGTTCTCATTATTTATCTCTTCAATCATCTGATCGCGATTGGAGTGTCGTCGACGACCTCGAAAACGTTATGTGAAAGGCAAAATTATCGTGTCCCTTTGATGGTCAATTAGTACCGTTCTCTCGTCAATCGACATACGTTCGCGAATCGTTCGACGAATTCGCGACGGTCAAGGCTGATCGCTCATATTTTGTATAACGTTCACTACAGTGAATGCAAAACATACTTACGGAAACTTTTTATTTAAAAAACCCGATCTATAGAAAATAAATATTAATTAGCAATTTTATACATCTTTAATTAAAACTGAAATAACGAAATTATAAACAATTTAATTGAAGAAATATGTAAACCTTGATTCAAATTTAATTTATTATTTACAAGCGCATACGTTAATTGAACGTAGTTTACTTTGAAAAAAAACTGAACAATTCAATCATAAAAATAAATTGTTTTATATTTTGACATAAATATAAGTTATGTTATAATGTAAACATAACAGATTTATGTGTTTATAATTTTAAAAACTAAATTTCTTGACACACACACACTGTATGAATATAGTTTATATTAGTCTCTTAGTTTAAATAAAAAAACTTTTATTTTTATTTATTTCTAAAATAATGTTTGAATGATTACACATATTTTTAAGTAAAATTACGTAGAGAAAAATACAATCTATTTCATGCTTTCTTATTAAATTGCTAATTGATATTCACTTTTTAAAAGTAAAATATTAAATACAACAAACAGAAGTCATCGCAAGAAATAATTGCGCAAAGAATCGACGTGTCAAATATAAAAAAATGCTTTTTTTGCATTTAACACTTCGATTCTTTGCGCAATTATTTCTTGCGACGACTCCTTATGCTCTGTTTGTTGTATTTAATATTTATTATTATATCCATAAAAAGTCCATATATAAATTATTGTTTAATTTATTTTTTACTAGTTTCTTTTAAAGATATTTCTTCTGTACAAATACCCACTTTTTGCACTACTGTATAAGTTTAAATCGCGTGCGAGCGAAGGCATGTGGAATAGGAAAAGGTCATCGCCCACAACCTGACTCATTAGATACGTTGAAGTTGAGATTCTCTCATCGTCTTTGATAAAGTGAAACTACACTCTTTTCATCGAATTAAATATTCACGGAGAAATGTCAATCCTCTCGTTTTCCCGTTTTTAAATTGACGATATTTATTTCTTATCATCACACAGATCGTTCGAGACTTTTGCTGATATTATCAGTCATCGTATTTATAGAAGAAACGTTTGAGGCTGTAGTTATAATTTACAGTACTATCTTGTGAACCGTCGGTTGTGATTTTAACGACAGTGGCGGCGCAAAAGATCGAAGAAATTTGCGTGGTGCTTATCGCAGAATTAATTTTTTTCTAAAATTCTCTCTAAAGCTTTAAAAATGAATATCATACTGAAGAATGAAATCTCACTTTTAAAGATGGAAAGTTGATAGCCACTCTTTTTTTTAAGATTGGCTCAATTTTCACTCTTTAGAATGAGATTTCATTTTGAACAATTCAGAGAGACTATTTAAAAAAAAAAAGTAAGATTATTAACGGGTAAAAAAACCGATAATCGAATACTGATTTTAAATTGTTATGCAATAAAGTTTCTTTCCTCGCACACGATGCCTTATGAATAGAACGAAAGTCGCATAATTCTCTGGAAATTCGCGAAATCCACGTATTTTCTGCGTTTTCCGCAAAACCGCATCGAAATTTTGCTTTGAAAGTGTGCGAGAGCGCGGCAACTCGTTACGCGATTTTACGTCTGCGAGCGTCGCGCGAATCGATCATGTAAGAAGCAGACGACGGCGACACCCACTATCGTCGTCGCCGCCGTCGCCGTTTACCGCCGATGTAGGATTTTGAATTTCCTGCAAACGTAGAGAGTAACTGAAATCTCGGCCGCTTCATTCATTCACCTATCAGTCGGCTCACGACCGTCCAGCCGAGCAGTCAGAGGCGCTCGCGAAGCGCGCGCTCGTCGAGTCCCTCCGTCACAAGCGATTTCGCGCCGCAGTCGCGACGATCGACGATCCTTGACTGAAAAGTCCCGCACTCCGCGAGGTAAACCACGTTCACGGATCCGGATGATATAATCGTTTCGTCACACGAGCGGCTTGAAGCTCCAGGTGACGTCTTGGAAGATAATTTTGCCTAATCTTCTCTCCTTCGAATCGGTAATTTCGGAGACACGAATTTATTTAAATAAAAGCTCTCCCAGAAAGATAGTGTTATTCCTTAGATAATTTAACGATCATCACTGTTTGAAAGTGTCCACATTTTGGGTTTTTCGTCCAAACGAAATTCCTTCGTCCAAAGAATTCCGCGAGATACTTCACTGGAAGAACAGTCTCATGGCTGCATTAATTGGGGAATCCTGGTTTAAAATGAACAACTCAAAATTTTCTGGTTGAATTCTTGAGTTGAAATAATTAGAATTCTAATAGATATAATTATAATTTTTCTGTGTGTTCGGAAGTGAAGTAGAGGACTTTTTACTTTACTCGCGCGAAGCGATAACGCTGTCGGGTTGCGTTATTCGCGTGCCACTATCGTGACGAGCTTATTTGGCTCGCAAAACGTCCTCGGCGTCAATATTTACCAGTTCGAAAGTCCATCTCGTTTGTTCGAAGGCGATAACGTTTTGAGTTGATCCAGAAACGTATAAAGTTCGACAGTTAAATTCGATATTTTTTTGTCTGCGTCGTCGGGATACGATTCGAGTTCGTCGCGCTGCACACGCCGGTGTTTGTACAGTGACTTGAACGATATTTTCAGCTTTTCTTTATCTTTTGCTCACGACTGTTCTCGCGCTGTGAAAGCTACCGACGACGTCTACCACGTGATCGTCGGAGCGCTTTTCGCGCGTTTCCTTCGAAAGCGCGTCGTCTTCGCGATTTAAATCTTGCGTGCGCAAGAGGTTCAATTCGATTCGGTGTTTTTCGTCGCGTGGTTAACAATTCGAAAATACCTGCATACGGATTGATAACCTGACGAAATACCTGCAAGGTTACTTCTGGAGTGTGATTTTGTCGGTGCAATAAATTACGTAGTAATTCGCGAAGTTAACGATATCGATTGGTAGCTATCGAAGTGAAGATACGTATAAGCGAATTGCTACTCTTACAGGAACAATTGGTTCCTTCTGTAATACGAATTGTAATCCGACCAATAATTAACTCTGATATTAAACTCAATTACTCTCGTATTAAACGATAACATTCGATGTTTTTGTATGCCAGAGTTTTGTTCTGACAGAGAAGATTTTTTCGTCTTTTTAACCTTTCGTCCGATTCTCATGCGATTTTGTTATGGCATGAAATTGACTATCGCAAATCGTGACACTGTCAAAAATCAGAGCTCCGAAATTCTCGAGAGGGAGGTAGATACACCAAGCAACGTCAATCAATGACGCTGATTTTTGTGCATCCAAAGTGAAGAGTGTCATCGATGAGTTGCCGTCGCTATAAAGAGAAGGAACGAGGAAGAAGAAAAAGAAGATCCGGTGTCTTTGACAAACTAATCGTGGACGAAACGTTCTTCATCTTTTTTGAATTTCCGCCTTCCAGAGGCGCAGTTTTTCGGAAAAAAAGCTAGATTCATCTGCTATTCTTCCCACACTCATCTTCCCTTTCTTTCCCGACCATTCTTGCCTTTTCGCCGCCTTTTTTTAGAGGCCATTTTCTACGGGGATTAAAAAATTTTTTTTAATTACTCATTCTCGTGAAATAACAAGTTAAAATGGCATCTTCCAGTCAAAGAGAGGACGAGGAATATGGATTGGGATATCAGAATACTTTGGTGAGTACCCGGTTGAATTTAATAATTGTTGTGAATTAATTCGTGGCAAATCATCATAAGTTAATATTAACGTGTAATCATTAATGTGCAATTTTATTTGACAATTGGCTGTAAAAATTTATGAAGAGTTTTATTTTGTTATCTAGATAAAATTTTTGAAGAAATAGTAGAAAAGTTGTAGAATGATAGTGAAGAAATTTATAGAAGCGAGATCTTTGAAAGATGAGGAATGACAATACTATATTATTATTACTATTTTATTGTGCATAAAGAGTACAAAAAATTGTGAAAAAAAAGATATAACTTTTATACGTACACTAGAAATAACTTGATTATACAAAGAAGAAGTAACACGATTCTAAGTAAGATTACATAACTTTATTACATAAAGTTTAAATTGTATTGTCGATTGCAATTTGGTTGAAAATTGAAGACTTTCTAGGAACGACAGATGCGATTATCAAGCTTATTCGCATTGTAACAGGTCTCAATTTTGAGATATTGATAATATAAGTTCATGCGCAGACGAGTCGAATGAAGGCAACACA